GTTATAGTCCGTTTTTCGTCGGACATTTTCAGGTCGCTCTTTACATGGGAAGTGCGTTTATTGTTACACATTAAGTTAAAATGTGTCGCATGTGTCGTGGTTTACAACACAATGCACGACACATTAAAGCACGACGCGAGGTGCTCGTTGCGACACATTTTGTCCAGCAAGAGCACGACATATGCGACACATTTTTTTATTAGTTCTTCTGAAAACGCATACTATGAATGTTTTTCAATTTAATTCCATTATAATTATTTCTGTTCTGAAAACTCAAGCATGTTAGACCTTGAGATCTTTCCAGCCTCGAGTTGGTCCGATCTCTGTCAGACCGATTCAGAGTAGTACTCTCTCGAATATTGATTGAGAGTGGCATTTTCTCGACTAATAAATTATCGAGAAATAATCTAAAAAAAAATGATTGCAGAAATATTTATCTTTCTTGCATTCAACCGTGTTGTTTATATATCGCTGTGCGTGCATAACAAAAACGGTGAATGAATAGCGAACAAACAGAACGCGACAAATTCGTATACAACACATTCTAAACGCGACACGTTGCTACGCTGGGATGCACGACACAATGACTCACGACATATGAATGCGATACATTTTATGTTAGAGTGTAATATAGTTCCGTCACTTCTCTGAGACGAATCAATGGTATATTTTGCTAGTTATTTCTAAATGTCACTAATTAGATACGAGTAACTATGATAATTTGTCAAGTATAAAATATGCATAAAATGATTCTTCGTATCACCAAATTCTATCACATACCAATACAAGTTGTCACCTAGCTGTTTGTTACAGCTCTTGAGAGTTGTTACATTTATATCGTCATAGGGTGATTTCGAGCACGAATTGGTGCCGCTTCTCCTGATGGAACTATTGAGCTCAAGGTACTCGAGTACTGAGACGATTCTCAGTAGAGTACCCAAAAAGTATCCTGTTACTAGAATGCTACAGAAACTTGGTCGGATATTCTGCTGAAAACTGTCTCAGTAATCGGATACACGAAGTAGATATTTGAAGACGTACAAATACTCTTTACTTAAAACGATGTCATAGATTCATTTGCTGAGCATTTAGAAACGTTTGGAAGTTAAGCACTGAGAAACCCAACAAGTATCCGAAGATACCCAATTATTGGAAAGTGTCTGTGACATACTGGTAGTAGTGTACTTCAAAGGGTAGAATATGTACTCTGAGGTCAGTACAGTCATCATGGCTACTAGTATCATCTTTTGAAGGATGATAGTTGGTGTTCGATACATATTAAGTAGTATTTGTGAACTATTTATAAAATAATGCAGAGAATTATATCTTGAGTTACGAGTAAATATAAAGTATTCTTATACTTGAAGGAGTATGGCTTCTGAGCACGGGTTTGAATAATGGAGTGTCCAAGGTTATTGGCGAAAGTGTTCGTCGTCATATGTTACTGGCTGAGAAACCTTCAACTTATACCGTTATTGGACTCAGTAGTTGGGGCTGTTTATCAGACAGAACACGACAAGTGCTCAGGCGACAGGTATAGAATGATAGACAACTATCAAGAGTACAATTCATCAGTCAAAACTCTATTACAGGCAAAGTCAAATTCATATGAAGATAAAACTAGGCGCAAAAGTGTTGTTAACATGAGAGCATTTTTATTGACGACGCCTGACGACAACGAGTTTTCCTGGACCACATTGGACGATAAAGAGCCCGATACACTTGAGAATAATCATACGTTTTTTCTTTTGCTCGACGATGGCAGCCAAGGCGAACATAAGACTACAAACGGAACGACTCAACGATACTATATCACCGATGACCCTCGTTCGAAGTTTGTCGAGGCTGTGAGTAAATCGGCTAACTGTTGTACAGTGACGATTCTCGTTGAAGGTGGGTTAGACTCACTTGAAGTCATTGAAAACGATCTCCGTGCCAAACGCCCTGTGGTAATCATTCACGGTAGCGGTCGCTTGGCGACTTCAATGGCTAATTTGCTTGAGTTGACGCGCGATAAACCTGTTCTTGGGTATGTAAAAAAAATGATCTGTGCAACAAAATATTTTCACAGTCAATATACAGAAAGACCGAAATCGAGCGACAACTAAAATGGACCATAAATATGCAACCAGCAAGAAAATCTATTTCGGACAGACATTTCGACCAAATCCAATTCATTTTGAAGCAAATAAATAGATCATATTTGAATGTATATCGGCTTGATGGTAACACTAGTCTCACGGACACCATCTTGCAAGCCATTCTTACCGGTTAGTGTCTTACTCATGCTCAATTGAAATATATCAGCCTTGTTTTGGTATTTAGCACAAATGAATCAAGAAAATGAGAATGCAACGGACAGAGACAATGATCTACGCGCCGAACGTATTAAGAAAATCTTAGACTTAACTATAATGTGGAGCTATGTTAATGGTGTTCACGATTTGCTTGAAAATAGAACGGTATCTACTATTTCAATCTATTTACTCATATTCGTTGTTAAATTATCATTATATAGGTGTTTGATGACGATCGGATATCGAACACCGAATTGTTCGAAAAGTCATTAATGATGAATCGTCCAGCGTTTGTCGACTATTTTCTTCGAAGGCAGCATGATGTGCTCGACACAAGCGAATATATGGCGTACAATAAGACTAACGAGAACAACATGCAAATGCTCTCTCGTATGTTTCGCGTCGTTCAAGCACTGTTGACTAGTCAGGGTAACACAAATATAGAGCCGAATGATAGTGCGGACGAAGTTTCAACAGCCATCGACGAGACTGATCGTGAAGCCGACATTGTGCACGTACGTGCAGCCTTCGGTCGCAAGTTTGTCGTTGAGAAGCTATATTCAAGACTTACTGATCACTTCGAGGTAACATTGTTAATTTAAGCAACAGTTTCTCAATGTCGACTACTTTTGTAAGGGAAAATATTTTTGAAAAAAACGTTTTGTCTGGCACTAAAGAAAGAATATTGTAAAGACCAACGCTGTCAAGTTAAAAAGTTGTTCTTGCCTCCCTGAAAAATTTGAGTCGGTCCGACAATGGAAACAAGTTGAGAAATATCTATCTTGTATAGAAAATTGCAGCTATTTATGAATATGAATATATCAGTTGTTTCCACTTCTAGGACGGGTGGGTGAGTAGTGAAGTGGAGACACCCATCCACAACCCATATTCTCAAAAATGGATATGCCATAACTCTTTTAGCTTTAGATAGAGGGTAATTCTGTGTCTGTCTAGCATATTTCACTGTGATCCTATCTAATTTGAAATGGATTTAAAAACCGAATGAAACTTTTCGTTGAGTTAATCAAAGAAAAGTCGACCGAATCTCTGTATGTTTCACTCAATTTTCTATTTCAAACAATTATTGCCTGATTTTTTTAAAATGCCAACCACCATTTTTCGAATTGCTTTCGATAGTTTCTAGCTATCGAAGTTGAGTTTTCACCATTAGATAGAACAATGCGGTGAGGCATCTATCTATGTAATATTCATTGAGTTCTAGGAGATTTTTCACGGATATTCGCAAGTAAACATTTGTTCTACAGCACATTTCTACATGTTTTCGTAGCAATTTATGCTCAAATCACACCAAAATACAGCCCAGAGTAAGGTATATTATCCAAAAAAATTTCAGATTTCACAAAGCTTTTCCCGAAGCATAAGTTTAGGGTATGGATGAGACAATCGAACAATTATATAGGGAACACAGTACTCTTCATGCTATATTTTGGTGTAGTTTGAACATAGGTTACTACAAACACTTCTGGAAATGTGCAGCAGGACAAACGTTCACTTGCGAATATCCATGGAAAACTTCCTAAAACTTAATGAATATTACACGGATAGATGCGCCCAGATTGCTCTATCTAATGGCAAAAGCCCAACTTCGATAGCCAGAAACTATCGAAAACTATTTGAAAAATGGTGATTGGCATTTTTTAAAAAACCAACAATGGTTCTGATTACTAATTCGAGCTTTATTCGACTTGATTAATATTGGGCGATTATTGGAACAATTGTTCAATTTGTTTTTCTCTCAGAAAAAGCACGTATATTTAAAGCAACCAAGCGCCGTTCAGTGCTTCTCGCGCGTTACTCTAGCTGGTTAGAACTCGAGCTTTTTATCATAACTGACTAATTGAAATAAAAAATCCGAATAGAACATAGAGAAAGAGATTTGGTTTGATTCAAAGTGTTAAAAATACATGGAGTTTTTAACTCAAAATCAAAAGTCCATCTGAAACCAACCACTTCGTATACTTATTAAATATGCGAATGCTCCCAAACATCCCAAAGGAAAAGGAATTTTTGAGCATGTACATTCACGAATGATCATTGTGAAATAGAGAACTTTCTAAAACTGTGAGATCATGTCGATATGTGAGATTTATCTACATTGTTTATATTTCCAAACAAGTTTCCACAATAATTCTAATTATTCAAAAAGAGAAAACTTATTCCTATATGAAAAATCCAGAATTCCTGATTTTAAAATATAGATCTATTCTATCTATTTTTTATTAGAGGTCTAATCGTATTTCATCACTGGACGATCTTGATAAATTGTATTATCGTTTAATTGGACCTTATGCCGAATCTTTTTTTCGCATACGATCGACGAAATATCGTCTTCAACAAGATCTACTTGCCATAAATCGTGTTCTGCAGAACTTTTTCAAATATTTCATAAAGATTTCACCAGTACCATCTGTTAAGCCCATGAAAAAACCACGTCTAAGTCAAGTACATCCAGAGAGTTCAAATGTATTAGCGGCCGTAGTAGCAATCGCCGGAATAGATCCGATCCAAGAACTTCTTGAGCGATACGGCACTGCAAAGACTGCCGGCGATCAGGAGATGTTGCGTGATATATTTCTGTGGGCTGTTGTAGCGGGACATGTCGAATTGGGTTTTGTTTTATTGCTCCAGATTAAATCTCGGATCGTCGCAGCCCTTATAGGTGCCGGTATCTCTCGTCGACTGATGTCAACAACAGATAGCTACTTAGATCGATTTCACAAGTTTAACAAGCAGTCGAACGACTATGAACAATTTGCTACTGCATGCATTGATGCTTGCTATGAACGAAGTGAGCGGCGTGCTTGTCAACTTCTTCTACGAGAAATTCCATTGTTTGGAAATATAACTTGCATGCAGGTAATACTTGATCAATATGCATTTCTACGGCTTAACTTAGCATTAATCTTAGGTGGCTATTGCATTTCGTATCAAGTCATTTATCAACAGTCGCTGTTTTGATCAAGTGCTCAATCGGCAGTGGTATGGAGCATTGGAGTCGACAACTAATGATAGGTTTCGGACGAAACCATTGCTAGTTGTAAGTCTTCTATCGTTTGGCGTATTGGCTCCGCTTCTGCTTAGCTATCAAAACGACGTTGATACAGACAAAAACATTCACGAAGAAGTAAGCAAAACCACTTTCCATTTGTCTCAATCTAATTGTTATTATTTGAGGCAAATATTACTGTCGATGGCAAGCAACTATCTTCACATCGCCGGTAGGATGATACTGATATGTCATAGATAGTTTTACGAACCTTTTATCCTAGATGGGAAGGTATCGAAGATAAATATAACAACAGTCTTAATTATTTTGAGAAAATCCGACAATTTCATCGTAGTCCTATGATTCGAATGTGGTATCACTTTGTGCGTTATTCTCTGAATTCATAAAATTTTCTCATAAGAATTGTTATCGCTTTCAGTTTATCTATATTTGGTTCTTACTTGCCTTCAGCTATATGATGCTATTCCACATGACATATGAAACTAACACTATGCATTGGACAGAAATATATGTGATCATAACCATTTCAGCAATGCTCATTGAAGATATTCGAAAGGTAAAGTGTTTGATGACACA